AACATATACATTTATAATTCACAACATTCATTTTTCCTCCTTTCCTTTACAGTAGCTTTAGAAAATTGCTTTTTGATGATTTGGCAAATTGTATTTATTTTAAAAAGAATCTCATTTATTGAGATTGATAATTCCAGGTTTCATTTGCTTTGAAATTGCATTTTTCAATGATAAGTTCTGGCAAAATGTGGTTCAATATGCCAGTGAAATAAAGATTAAAAAAAAAAAAAATCAGTTGACTTACTCTGTAAATGTAGTAATTATCTTTCCTACCAAACTCAAAATACGGAAAGATTGAAGTAAAAATTATTAGAAATAATTTTAGCAGCAAATTATTTAAGAACAAGACAAATATTTAATATAAAACAATGCATTAAATTTTGCATTTGAAAAATCTTTAAAAATTTTGGTCATTCTCCAAATGCATTTTCTATCTCTGTTATCAGAGATGGACTATTACAAGTTATCGATGCTTCTTCAAAAATAAGTCTTGTTTTTCAGACACCAAATAACTCAAAAGATAAAGCAGTCTGATTTATTTTGTAGTACTATAATGTAAAGATGGCCCTGAAGCACTACAAAAGAGTCCTATGCCTTCTGAAAGATCACAGCACAATCACGTTCACCTCAGAAGTATTTTAGCATTAAGGGCATTTTAAATGAAAACTAAACCTCTGACAATTTGACAGAGATGTAATGTCTCAATAGCAACAACTGGTCAATAAAAACCTTTTAAAACAGCAATACCAGATACAGAGGGAAAAACCTATAATTTATACAACATTATTTCTGGTTCTTGAGGAAGTGGGCAAAGTGAGTTGAACTACCAAAACAAAAACTTCCAAAATGAACATATAATGTGTTAGTTTATGAAAACTTATGTGCTAGGCCTCAAAAATGGTACCAATAAAAATGGTGCTTAGATAACTCCAAAATCTCAGATTTATTTAGCATTTTATAAGACAATATGTAACCAGTTCTATTTTCCTAAAGACACCAAAGCATACAACCAGGAAAAGAGAAAGACCTATCACTTGGTATCTACTGTGTGGATGGGGTTATTGTGGGTTTTACAGATCTGCTTATGCAGCCAAGAACCTCTCAGAAAGGTATTCAGGAATCCCAACATATATCCAATTAACCAGAAAAAGAAAATATTCTGGCTGACTTTTAAAATCTCTTTATTTCACATTTTAAGTTATTTTAAAAGAAAACCATTCCGTGTTAGCATTAGGCAATTAGACAATTATCCTATCTTACACAGCCATCTCAGGATAAAGACTTTTGCATAGCTATAGTCTCAGAACCAAAATCACCTTCATATTCCTTCCTCTGGACTGTAAAACATAGTTCTAGAGTTAAATCCCAATCGGTTGACATTTAGGGGTACCCACTCTGCGGTATGGCATAGAATGCTTTAGAGAATAACATTCTCACTCAGTATAAAACTCCAAACAGTGAAAACACAACAAAATATATTTCTAAATGGGTATTTCTAGGTAAGGACAGAAAACTAAGTAGCAAAATGAAATGTAATATTGTTTCTTACGGTCTACAAACTATACTCTGACAGACTCTGGCCATAAGCCTTTCCTAGGCCAGAAAGGAAGGCAAGCAAACTTATTCCTCTACTCTTCTCCATTTCCTGGACAACAAATATTCTATTTTTTGAAGTGTGAATTCTAGGCATTCAAAACATTACATATAAATAAACACTTAAGGTTAATTCTTCTAAAACAGTTATATTTGCTTCCTGCTTAAAACTTCAGTTAAAATAAAAGGTAGCAGGGTTGAAATACATTTTAACAATGTACACAAAGAAATCAAGTGCAAAATTAAACATAAAAGATGCATTGTCCTTTTAGGTTCTTAACACATACAGCCCTCAAATAGCAAAGTCCTGGTTACTTTTTAAAGTAAGTAGATTAAAAACAAGATTAACCAAATGTCCAACTCATGTCAAATTGCAGCCTCTACTAGTTAAAAATTCTGTTGGTTGTAAAACTCTGTTGGTGGCCATATTGGCCCAGGATTTTTAATATAAATGAGACTAGAAATGACAGGGGGGTGGGGGAAGGGACATTCCTTCTTGAATAGTGAAAGGGAAAATCTTATCTAGAATGTTATTTTAAAGATGAAAAAGAACATTAAAAGCCAGGCTCTACAAAAATCTGAAAATGTAGCAGAAATGAAAAGATAAGAGGTTATATTTTGCTTTATTATTAAACATTTAAAAGCATTCTCAAAATTTTTGAAAGAGGTAAAAATATGAACTATTTGAGGAAATTATGTAATTGTTAAATAAAAATTTTTTTCATGGTCTCCAAATTGATAGAGACATTAAATTATATGACATAATTTTATGATCACTAAAACAGAGAAAGATGGTGTCACCAGATGGTTGTTATTGTTTGTATATATGTAGTCTTTTTAGTTTTATTAGCATGCACTCTTTAGAATGATGGTCTTTGGCTTTTATTAATGTAGTCAAGTCTAGTTGATTAAAAGCTAGCTATTCTATTCATATACAAGTTGTTGAAGATATTTCATTTTATTTTTCATGAAATTGTTGAAAACAGTAACACTTCTCTTCTACAACTTTTTTCTTAGTTCTGAAAGTATTTTAAGGAATTTTTTATTTGGAATATTTCAAAAGTCCACTCATAACAAACAAGTACACCACTTTTCTTATGTGTTTGAGAAACAATATTCTGCTTAACCCATAGACTTTTTTGGTTTTTAAATAAAATGATTCCTGGATAAACATTTATTTACTGTCATTAAAATTTAAGTTGCTCTGTAAATGACCTTCTAGTTGGGAGGCAGATAAAACCAACTGAAAAGCTCCCAAATACAAACATTTCCAAACTGGATACTAATCACCTTTCCCATCATTTGTAATAAGAAATATGACAATTTTGGTTAGAAAAAGTAATTAATCAACATCTAAGTGTAGAAAGCTCCAGTTTTAAGAAGACTGATTTAAATGAATAAGCAGTAACAATTTTAACCGAGGCTTTATTACTTGGTCATTGGGCTGACTGACTCAATATTCATGTGTGAGGGCTACTAGGAGTCAATAGATGGCAGTCCATAGCCTAGTAAAAGAGCTGAAGATGACTAAAATCACCATGCATCTTGTTTTTATTCAAGATTGAATATTGCTTCATGGCATACATTTGGATATTGTCCGTAACTGATAATTTAAATAATTACTTATTTTATTTTAGAGACACTGATACATGCACACATGTTCATAAACATGCTAGTTTTATATTTATACTTGCATAAACTCATTATTAATTTCAACTTGATAATTTATAAACTGTGATGGCTACTTCAATATTATTTTAAAAAATTAACCAGGATTACAAATTGGAGCAAAGTTTTCAAATTGAATTTGTTATACCTATAAATAGAATATATTGTAATTCCTTAAAAAGTAAATTTATTTTTTCATTTATTTTTTCCCAACGATTATTTTTAAAATTTGTTTCTGAACAGCTAAAATATTAAGCAAACCTTCAAATATTTCTGTTAAACTGAAACTAATTTTTACCCTTCATAGTTATATAAAAGAACACAGGTATAAATAATCAAAAACAATGCTTCCTGTACTTCAAGATTGGAACCGTTTAAATTAGGAGAAAAGCTAAAATAAATGGGATGTCAAAACTATAAAGATATTACTTATGCAGTTACAAAAAGTGGCTCTGTGATCTTGAAAAGTGTAACATATATAATTAGTTTATAATTAAGTTTAGGCTATAAGAATTTCAGCATATTACGTTAGGATTAAAAAAATGTGCTGCATAAGCAGAAACAATGTATTTAGATGAATTCTATCTGTAATATACATGTGTTACATATATGGGTATGTATATATTTTTCGGTATAACACTTAAGTTTTTAACAAACCCTAATTTGAGATTTGAGAACAGTTGAGGAGTTACAGTTTTCTACTGAAAATCTTTAAATAAATTAAATGGTAATCACAAAATATGAAAACAAACCATCTTATATAATTTATGGCCTCTTGGGCCTGTGACAGACAGACAGATAGGTATTTTGAGTCTACTTACTGGTTTACTTTTTTTTTTCCTCTAAGGAAAATAAGAAGAAAGTCATATTTTGAAAGAATTTTGGTTTGTATTTTTACAATCTGTCTTTGTGTAAACAAAACTTTTAAACATGCTAAACCTTAAGGAACATGTTTAACAACTTTTAATTAATATATGTTATATAACTGTAATAATTAAAAGAATAATTGTCTCTTGCTCAGCATAACATATTCAATACAGTAAAAGAAGTGAGTAGAAGGGCTATGGTGAATTTTTGAAATGATTTAAGCTTAATATTAAAAGTAAACTAACTTCATAATACTGAGCACCAATTAGCTTCTCTAGCAAACTATTTTCTACTTCTACTTAGCCTAAAATCACAGTAAAAGGAAACTAGAAATTGAATAACTTGAATGGTATTAAGCAGATATTTATACATTTGGAATAAGTCAAGAAGAGCTTAAGGATATGACAGCTGAATTATTCTATATGAAATACACGCTAAGCTTTTTCTAGGTTCATTGAAATATATGAGTAACTGTTTCAGTAATGGTAACTGAAGATACTGTGGACTGAATGCTTGTGGACTGTGGATAATACAACATTTTAAAGACACTGGATTATTACTCTTTTTTATGGCGCCCAGTATACTTTTTCCCTTTAGTTTAATGAATATAGTCTGAAAGACTAAGAGATACCATGATGTAATCATTAAATGATATGAGTAATAAAAAAAATCAAATTCCTTTAAAAACAGGAAGATAGGGTAGGGGGCAGTGGAAAAGAGAAAAAGTGTATTATTGGTTTCTCAGTACAAAAACTCTTCAGATGTTTATTATCTTCCAGCAGAAGATGCTTGTCTATATTTTATGGTCAGCAGTTCAGAGAAGGGTAAATAGGCTAGGTCTTGGGGAAAATAAAAAAGGTGTTTCTACTCAC